CCTGACCGTCTGTTCAAATTAAAGGTATTTGGAAATACCACGCTAATCAATTGCGAGACTGAATTGGTGGCTTGTTACAGGTAACAAGTAGAATATATAGAACTTATGATTCAGTATCAAAGAAGCTGTGTGTATTGACATTTCCAGAATTCCGATTCGTAGACTATTGATTAGCTGAACGCAGATAATTTTCAAACTGCAATGTTTACTTCCTTCTTGGTACTTCCACTGGCAGATCGCAGTGAAATTGCTGCATCATGATGTTTTGGAAGCGATTAGCGTCCTTATATTTATGATTAGGACTACGAAAAAGTGCGGCAAACAGTACCAAGTAGAAACGAAAACCGAAATCGGTAGATCAAGTTATGAAATGCTGTACGAGCACTTTGTTCACAAGCTTGAATATACTGTAATTGGAGACAAAACAAAAATCAATTATATTTCAGTGTACTCGTTACAAGTTGTGATACGCCATCAATTGAGTAACAAAAATCACATTTTGGGCCACTGAACAAAGCCACAAGGGGTTACAATTTTCACTCACAAAAACGAAAGCTCAATAACACTGATAGCAATTAATTCGCCTTCAGGATCTTGTCGGACTGAGAAATTTATTGTTGTTGAAACCAATCAATGCTTCGTAAGAAGAGTCATGATATTTTGGAGGCATGACGCTATGCAAATGACAATGATAAGAAACTGAAAAACAGCTGCAGAGTACCATCAATTTAATCAGACAACACACATCTGCAGATATTTGGTTCGGCCACTCTTAACTGTTAGGTATTTGATTTAATATCTAACCGAGAAAGAAAAGGATACCTGGTCATGTGAACTCTCATGATCATTTGTGCTTTGTGACAACCTGACTCTAAAGTTGAAGCCGGAAATTAAGGATTTTCACCATGAAGTTCCTTCTTAGCGTTAGCCCTCACAGAGAGTGAGTTGAGAAACTAGGTTCATCCGTTGTATTGAGTTCTAGGGACTCGGGAATGGGTCTGAAGGAACGAACGTGCAATTAGCCATGATGCATTTGTAGGTTGTTTATTTCTCAGTTTATTATTAAAGGATCAACTGGAACAAAATTGACAAAATCTTTTAAAAACAGTATTTAAACTTATTTATTTGTTGCTTCCAATACATGTTTTCTTAATTAATGTGTTGGCCCTGTTTGTTTGTTCTAGAGTTGGTACCGCGTAAATGTCTGACTGTTTGCCTTTCCATTAATTTTTTACTAGTTATAGCGGTACATTTATGCCATTGTGTTTCCAGTAGTGTTGCCAACTACGAGTGTTTCTGATCAAACTTTATTTGACGATTGCACAGAAACTTAAACCTTTTAAGGGGAGTTTTATCATGACATGGCAACGTTCAGCTGAGTATGTATTATGCCTGCTTGGTCGAATGCATAGTAGCACCTACGTAAACAGAAATGAAAAAGAATACAGTTTGCTTTAGACAGGGCCATTCTTGTCATTGTTAACAGAACAAGGTTGGCCATGATTATAATTTTGAGTGAACTAAGTCTAAATGTTACCTTTGCCCTGAACAGGTGTCCAAACCTCAGCTGAGACTGACACTGTTGAAGTTGTACAAAAAAGATCAAGTACTGGGAACCTTGCTCGTGATCCGGAAGCAGAGGATGAACCTGTCAAGGCAACAGAAGAACTTGAGCAGTTAAAAGGTGCACCGAATGTTGAGATACATCTCTGTGAGAGGAGAAACGATTTTGAAGGGCCTGTAGGTATAGACAATGATGCAGTTCATCTCAGTGAGGGAGAGAAAGACGTCGAGAAGTCTAAAGGTTCAGAGGATGATGCAGCTTATCCCAGTAAGGACAGGAAAGACTTCGAGAAATCTAGAGGTGTAGAGAATAATTTAATTTATTCCGGTGAGGAAAGAAAAGATTTTGAGAGGACTGACAATAAAGAGAATGATGCTGTGAAACTCAGAGAAGAAGGGAAAGACTTGGAGAAGTCTAAAGGCACAGGAAATGATGCAGGTTATCACAGAGAAGAAAAGAAAGACTCACAGAAGTCTAAAGTTGTACTTTATCCCAAAGAGGAGGAGAAAGACATGGAGAAATCTCACGGTGCAAATTATAATGTATTTCATCCCAGTGAGGAGAAGAGTGGTATTATCAGGTCTGAAGGTGCAGAGAGTGATGCAATTCTTCCTTGTGAGGAAGAGGCAGTTGTTGAGCAGCCAAAAGATGAAAAAAATGATACAGTTCATCCCAGGGAAGAGAAGGAAGACGTCGCTGTTCATTCCAGAGGGGGAGAGGATGACGCCAAGAAATCTACAGGTGTGGAGAATGATGCAGTTCATCCTAGTAAGGAGACAAAAGGCAAGTCTAAAGGTGTAGATGGTGATGCAGCTCATCCCTTTGAAGAGAAGAAAGATCCCGAAAAGCCTAAAGGGGCAGAGAAGGAGCCCATTCATCCCAGTGAGGGGAAAATAGAAGTCCAAAACAGTAAAGGTGTAAAGAAAGATTCTGTTCATCCAAGAGAAGGAGAGGTAGTCGTTACGAAATCTACAGGTGTGATAAATGATGCAGCTCATCGTAGTGAGGAGAACAAAGACGTCGAAAAGCCTGAAGACGCAGAAAAGGAGGCCAATCATCCCAGTGAGGAGAAGATAGACGTCCAAAACTCTAAAGGTGCAAAGAAAGAAGCGGTTCATCACAGAGAGGGAGAGAAAGACGTCAAGAAGTCTACAGGTGCGAAGAATGATGCTGTGCATTCCAAAGAGGGGAAGAAAGACGTCAAAAACCCTGAAAAAGCAGGAAATGTGGAGTACATGACTGTTGTTTTTCATGCATTGCTGACACCAACTTTTAACATCAGCTTTCAACAGGGAGATAAAGTCGTCTTGAGAGGGGACTCACCCTTTTCTTGGAATCCATCACAGCAAGTCGAGATACAAGCTGTAAGGTATAGTTCCTTCTCATCTTTTACTCTTTTCTCGTTTTTTTTTTTTTTTTTTTGTGTCCGGACAGTTATCTTCTAGCTCTGAAATCTCTCATCATACGGTCCCAAGAAATGAGTTACATCATCCAAAGTTGTTGAGTGAAAAATTTTGGGATCATCTTACTGACCTGTTAAGACATGGTACGAAATTAAGCCTTATTAAACTATTATTCAACATCATAAGCAGTTTTAGCACCCATCGCTTCATGCTATAATAATGGTATATCGAACAAATGCCGAGTCACTGGTAAACCAGTTACGTCAAAAACACCCTTAGAGCGGTTTTCACTTGACTGAAGAAAAGTAATTTGTTTTGCTTTACTGCGCTACGCTATGGGCTTAAAAGAATTCGTTCCCGCGGTTTGCGTCAGCTACAATCATTTCGTTCGAGTTTTGATCTGTTCACTGGATGGTTTATGTCCTTTATGATTGGCTAGAGTGACTGAAGTTAAAAAATCAGGATCACCCAGCATGTTCCTGTGGTAGCTTGTAATATCAAGAACATCATGGATCATATCTTATTCACCAATGATTGAACATTTCGACCAGGGCTTTGAACTATTGTTTGGAAATTTCAGGGAACTGCATGGTGGAAACTACTTACTGGAAGGTAAAGTCAAACTAACGCTGCGAGAGGCCTCCCGAACGATTGCGTATAAGTACGTTGTTGTACCACACCAAAGACGAACTGCAAAAGACAGGCCTGTTAAGGACCTTTGGGAGTGTCTTATTGGTTTCAGGACTGTCGTTGCTGGTGAACATGTCAACCGATGCCTTCGCATCCCTGAGAGTTCGATAAAAGCCAATGGTAAGAAAGAGTAAAGGAAATTCCCGCGAGACAACATGTTTTCTCTTATTACATCTATACTCCCTTAGAACTCCTCTCGTTAACTTTGGCCTTACTGTCTTTCAAGAAAGACTTTCACAGCTAGTCTGACTATAAACTAAAATACTTGGTAACCCTTTCTCTTGTTGCTTTTTTTTTCATTAAATAAAAGGATACTTAAACAAAAATGATATTGCCTTAAAAACATTGACAACTCTATGTTTGACCTTCTACGAGCTGAGGCCCGCAACTTTCGTGGAGACATTTTAACCCGGTGCTCGTTTTAGTTATTAGTCAAAGGGGTGAATTATATCAGTTTATTTCAAAGAGTTGCAGACCACAGTCAGCCCCCTTCAAGATCTTCGTCAGTGAAGCTAAGCCATGATGATGATTTCAATGAGTGCATAATTTGTATTTCTTCATGTGGCTGTTTCTTAGTTGGTCTGAGGGAATCAATTTAATTTTGTGTGTTTCCATTTTATTTGATTCTGATGCCTTTGATATACAGGTGTGATTGACAGACCGACTTAACGATTGATGGAATGATGGACGTACAGAATGACTGACTGAATGCCTAATCGATTCACTAAATGATTGTTTGGTAGAATGATTAATTAATTGATTGAATGATTGATTGATTGATTGATTGATTGATTGATTGATTGATTGATTCACAGTCGATTAATTAGTTGAATTGTTAATACCAGTCTTCTCTTAAATATATTTAGGCACGTGGCATCAGTATGATGATGCAATCTTCAGTCAACCTGGATTTTGGGAATCGATTCGCAGCTTCTTCCCTCACAACGAAAACGACCCTGCTGAAGGCCGACGATTGGCTACGATAGCTATGCTCCCAGAATGGGAGAGAATTTCTTTGAATGAAGGAGGGATGAATGCACATGACGCCTTGAGTGAAATCAACAATGTAATCTATTGCATGTCAAAAGCTGAGGTCAGGAATGGGGATCTCGTTCTTCCTCGAGTTCCATACGGCTTTTATATCATGGAGGTTTGTACTCGAAAACGCGTAGTTTGGGATGTTTCGTTTAGTGTTTAGTGCAGAGTGCACTATTGGGATGGTTTAGGGGGCTGCTGTTCCGTAAGGCACTAACACTATAACACAATAAGGTGTAAACTTTGATGTTTGTTTATTTAATTAATTTCAATAAACCAATTAGCCTTGTGGGAAGAGGGGCTGGGTGGGGTAGCTAAAAGGTGCCCGTGTGCATTACACAAAACGCGTCACACGTACATTACTTTCCTTGCTAACATGACAAATATATATAAATTGTTTTGCAAATCTCATGCTATCCTTGTGGTACTATTCTCTTAAGAACAAAGCAATTTGCTCCAAACGCATGCGCAGATTAGCTAGCGTCAAAGGTCGACTGTATGTCAGGTGAAAGATACATTTGATACGGGACTACCCACGAACGTTGAGTTCTTTTCTTTGTGGTAGAACATAACGTGTAAGACGCATGCGTTCTAGCATTGCTAGTGTGATAAACTCCGTTCTCGAGTTCAGATGCACT